TATACATTGAATCCTTCAAAGCGTGCTTGTACGTTCAATTCTCTATTACATCATAATTGAGAGTTCGTCCAAATCGTCTTATTTGTTGAATGAGTGCAAAAATTGAGGATCCACTGTACGAGCATCATCCACATGAATGTAACGCCACAAGTTATTATCCCCCCCAACTATTATTGTGCTTTGCACCTTTTTTGGCAATTCCAGGGTTAAATTCATTGTTTAAAAATTTCTCAGACTTAAATAATGTCTAAAGTAACTTGAATAACGGTTGGGTGCGTTGTTTAAAGTTACTTCATCTAATGCGATGATTGGTTGGTTGAAGGTGGTTTTACTGGCACTTTCGTAAAACAAGTTGTTTGCCGTTTTCATTCTGGCAAGCAACTTGCTTTACGTCAACATGTTAAGGTGCTTGACGCAATGAAACTGAAGGAGCTATGGCCACACACATGACCCCCCATCCGTGATCACTACAGTACTAACATTATCTACTCCGAGTAATGTGTATAACGTTTGGGATATAGTTAGGCTACAGTACATGTAGTCGTCGCTCTGTCCAATGATTCAAAGCTATGCCATACCTACAATTCTTGATCTGCTCTAACCTTAGCACTGTACGTGGAAGGCAAGGGCGCACTACTGTACGACTACACGATGTATAGTACTCCCATTTAACAGCCTAATACGGTATGCATCGTGATGAACTGGTAGTTGTACGGCGTTAGTTGGCCTGGTGCTGCAACTCGATTAGTTAGCAGCTGAAATAAAGTAAGGGTTGTTTTATTCTGCTGAAATGCAGAACTTGTGTTTAGCGTTGTTTTATCTTCAATTGGGCTTATATTATTTTAAACGTCTGGTTGTTTAACGCATTTAAACAACGGGCAAACTACATGAAAAGCACAATAATACCCGTTGAGCTATAATTCGCTACGAGAATGTGGACACCTGGTACCGGTACTATTACGTTACTACTGGTATATAATTTGGTAACGCTACTTCGAAGTACATGATGTCTCAACAAAGCGCAGTCAAGATTTCAGTTCCGTCTTGGGGAAATTCAACCTCCATTCCGGACTACCGCGGGTTGGTTGCTGAACCGATTTTGCACCGCATACAACCAATGGCTACAAAGATCCATGGCCAGAAAGTGCCTCGTGCTAGACATCAATTCACCGCCAATTGGATTACGTTTTCGATTCTATTGGATTCCCAATCCCCAATCACATCTACGGTGGATATTACAATAAACCGCAATATCATTTGTGGCATCCTGTGGCCTTAGCATAACCATTCTGGTACGGCCACACTAGCACATCAATTGAATACTTGCTGCATTGCCTTCAATGACCCACCCAGCACATTGCAGCTGACCATTCACCCGACCCCCAATCAACCCCCCCCCGGTGTAAGCTCAAACATTGTTCAATTTGACCACTTCGGCAATGATCAATTCCACGAGCTATCGTGACGCCACGACGCCCAAGCCAGCCCATACGCCAGGCGGCTACCCCACCGACAACACCGTTATCCTCCCAAGCAACCTTAAGTCGCGTGGACTGTGGTTGGTCGGCCACGTGGTGGTTGGCCTGCTGATGGTTCTGGCTGTGCTGACCCCCATGGGCTACAACCTCCCCGTGTACCCCGTAGAGTTCTCCACCCCCATTTCTGTGTGGTGGAACGTCGATCCGAAAGTGAAGGGGAGTGGCAACCCTGAAATGGTGGTCCCGACCTACTTCTTTCTTGGGTCGGTGGTACCCGTGACGATCGGCGCCGTGCTCCTGGCGTACATCCGAGTCAAGTCGGCCGTGTTTGTCCCTCCGTTCTCCGCGCTGCTGCACCGCAAGCCAAAGGTGTTCAAGCACCTGGTCAGCTACGGCGAGCTCTTGTTCTTGTTGCTCTTGGTCGTGGGCAATGTCATCGTGTTCTCGTACCAGTACAAGAAGCGTTCCAAGCCCACCGACAACGCGACGACCCAAATCAGAGTGATCGGCACGTCCCTGGGGTTCTCAGGGTTGTATAACATGGTGTTTTTGGCCCTTCCCGCGAGTCGCCATTCGTTCTGGATGGAGTGGCTCAACATTCCGTACGCCAACGGGGTCAAGTACCATCGGTGGCTGGGCGTCGCCACGATCGTGTCGTTCGTGGTCCACACTGGCTTCTACGTCGTGTTCTACGCTCGCACGGACAACCTGCTCAAGATGCTGCCTTGCTTTGACTGCGACGTGGCCGTGGGGGGTAAAACCAACTGGGAAAACTTCTTTGGGTGGCTATCCATGATCTGCATGATGGTCATGGGGGCCACGAGCTTGCCGTACATCCGCCGCCACTACTATTCGGTTTTCTACGCCACGCACTTTCTGTTCATCCCCGCCACGCTGTTTGCCATCCTCCACTGGGGCAACATGTTCTTCTTCCTCTTCACGTCCATGGTGCTGTACATGGTCAACCGCGTGCTGTCCACGGCGTCGATCACGACCCCTGTGGCCTTGAAACGCGCCGCTGTCTTGTCGTCAGAAGTGGTCGAAATCACCTTCGAATGCGTCACGGGCTACAGTCCTGGCGACGCTGTCTGGATCAAGGTGCCCGCCTTGTCCAAGACTCAATGGCATCCCTTCAGTGTAGCGTCGACGCCGTTGGAAACCCCCGGCTTGCTCACCATCTACGTCAAGAGTCTGGGCAAGTGGAGCGCGGGGCTCCACCATTACATTCGCGAGTGCCATGAGAAGAACGTCCAGCCCATCATCTACATGGATGGGGGCTACACTGCAACCTCCCCGATTTCCGCAGCGCATTCCGACGTGGTGTTTGTCGGGGGGGGGATTGGTATCACCCCCTTGATGGGTCAGCTCGTGCATGTGCTTCGCAGCCACCCCAGTCAAAACGTGTGGCTTGTGTGGAACGTCCGACGCAAGGACATGTTTGTGCACTTCCAATCGTGGCTGCGTCACATTCAAAACGTGGGGGGAGACCGCTTGAGGATCCGCCTGCAAGTGACGCAAGAAGAAGTGACTGAGTTTGGTGTTGCGAACACCGATGACATTCAATCTGGCCAAGAGTTCACGGGACAGCAAAGCCTCCCCCGCTGCTTTGAAGGCCATGGCCCGAACTCGGCCGTCGAGTTCCGTCCGTATGCGCATGTCAGCACGATCAAACGCATGGTCATGCTCACGGTGGGGTTCGGATTCAGCTGCGCCCTCGTCGCCATCGCGACGTACGCCAACCGACTCACCACGGCGACTTCGGCCCAGTGGATTCTGCTTCGAGTGGTTCAATTTTGTGCGGTCGTCGTCGGCTGCTACCTGGCCCTTCTCGTCACGAAATTCCCCAAGACACTCGTCCCCGCAAGCGACGACGTAATTGACCATCACGACAAGGCCGCCATGAGCAGCGACGACGTCGCCAAGCACTTTGAGGTGCAATCTGGTCGCGCGGATTTGTCTGAGATCTTCCAAACCGTCGAGTCGGGGGCTCAAGGGTCGGTGGCCGTGTACGTTTGTGGGCCCAAGAGCTTAATTCGATCTGTCGACGAAAACGCCCACGGCAAGTTTCAAGTGCACCACGAAGACTTTGAAATGTAGGTTCATGCCTACCTGGTAGATATATAGTTCATATTTTTTTGGCATGATTGCCTTCAGTTGTGCAAAGGATTTGTATCGTTTCTATTACCACACCACACGAATGTGGTGAAGTCGTCAAGTGGACAGTTCACTTCACGTTGAACTACTGTACCGGTATAGTGGCTACTTATGCAGGCACATTCATTGCCACGCGGCATATCAACAGGCGATGTCCACGAACGATCACACTAATCATATTGATCGCGCTAAGCTTGGCAAGTTTCAACGAAGTATCTCCGAATTCCAAATACAATCAGTAAAGACAACGCACGGGAGTTGATGGTGCTGCATACATTAATAATTAATTACCTCTATAACCTACCATTGTATGGCCATCGAAGACATGCTCAATTAATAGGTACTAGTACTGATCAGAAATATAGCGATGCCGCCTCTCCGTTAATAACCGGGAATTGAATGAATTACTTTACAGTTATCTCGGAGCCACACGCCCAAATACACCGGTATTATGTGGCATATTGAAAGTTCGACTCATGGTGAACCATCGGCGCAAGGAGTTTACAGTCTGCTAAACTTGACTACTGTATGTTGTCCTTGGTGAATGGTGCTTGTCCAGGTGCGGAAGTAGTTTTCCTTCCTACTACTTGACTGGAATTATCAACCGCCTCCCATTGGACTGCTAATAGTTCTCCTTGACCGCACTTTATATACCGACCCGCCTGTTGACTGTATATCAAGTCGGTAAAGGTTGAGTTGCAACAACGCAGGAGGGAAGACATGCGAAACGTCAATCTCGTACGACAGGCAACCCATGAACGCCACAGTACAGTACATTGGGCTTCAATTATTCAGATGACCTACTTATTGCACTCAAGGATTGCAGTATATACGGCACTGTACCAAGGTTTTACTTGCCAAGTTCGGACAAAATGGGCATCGATCGCTTACTCCCATTCCGCGATTTCCTTATGTACTCTTTGATACGGTAAGTATCGTACCATTTCGGCATATTTGGTGGTGTCCCATTAAGTTCGAATCCACCGATAATTTCGCGCATTATATTTCGTGGTTCATGTATACGTATACAGACTCTGAATTCGCAAAACCTCCAATATATTTCTTGAAACGACCATAATATTTCGCATGTACTACTACGTAGTACTTCGAAGGAGTACTAACTACAGTGTAGTACTACGTAGTACCAGTACTTCGTACTTCGAAGTAGTAACTTACACTAACAGGGTACTGTAGATAAGCACCTGTTGCCCCCAACTAAGTGCACCACGTCGCATGTTGAGGCAATCGGCTGGCATTAACTCCTAGATCGGGGCTGATATCGGTTTGAGATATACTAGGTAACCGAATAGGTTGATATGCTTGTTTATTGGTGTTCGAGGTTCAGGGGCAGGAACAAGTCGGAATCCCCAACCAGTTATTACATGGAGGCGAATTTAAAATGCGCGACGGTTAGGTTTGGTTACTTCAACGAAATATAATGGTTGTTTCACGGACTGTACTACTACGTACTTCGAAGTTGTATTTATTAATACTACGTAGTAGTAGTATACTAGTATTCGAGGTTTTTGACAGTGAATCCAATGAGTGAACGAACCGCGAAATATAATCAGCGAAATCAACATTTCCATCGAATTAAATTGACTGTGAACACTGCGAACTTAAATGGGATTCACCAAATATCCAGTGTAGAATTGTCCTTCTCACGCAAATTTGGACTGTTCACAGTCAGTCCAAAAGTGAAACCGTTTTTGAATGAACTTGGCAATATATCTTGTATTCACTATAGTCAATCTGAAACTGGGGAGTTCTAGAAAACGTATTGATTGGCTGAACCCTTCAGAAATCTTATAAAGGTGGGGTTAGAATGGATTTTGATTGGCTAGTTCATTTTCAAATCGATTTGCCAAGTCTATTCGATTCTACTACTGTACTGGCGCCTCCAATTACGAACCGACTTGACAATATACAGTTGGATACATTTTGAGAACGAACGATTCAGCGTCCCTCCCAGTCTGACAAGCAGCCAAGTATTCTGATCAAAACCCATTGCGATGCTGGAAAAGGCGGGACTGATGGAATCTCATGGAGCGTACAACTAGACTTCCCTTCCTCACATCACATTTTGCATCATGTCGTCACCATTGAAGAGCATCAAGAGCTGTCGAGGAGCGGCCACGCCCAGCGGGCTATTCTTGTCTGACAATGGCACCCTGTTGGCCCCATCCACGTCTCGCAGCACGATCCTGTTCAAGTTTTTACACTGGTTTGTTGGTGCGCTCTTGTTGTTGGCCGTCGTATCGCCTGCCGGATATCACGTTCAGGCGATATATCGTAAGAACCTGGCGGTGTACTTCACTCCATGGTTCAACATCGATCCCAAAGACAAGGCCCGCTACGCTCCTGGCAAGGAGATGCTCCCTGTAGCCTATTTTTTCCTGTTTTTCATCCTCCCGGTCGTCGTGGCTGCCCTTGTCTTCAACTTGACCAAGCCTCTGTACCGCGGCTCGTCCTTCCGATTCCTGCACATCGAGCCGCGCTGGTTGTGCTGCCAGATCAGCTATGGGGAGCTGGCTTTCCTTGGCGTGGTGCTGGGAGGGAACATCATCGTTTTTTACCAATCGTATCTGCTCCAAATTGGCTTTGACAAACCGACTATAACCTGCATTGCCATCGCGTTGGGCTTCAGTGGGCTCTACAACATGGTACGTCGTTACCTCCATATCGTTTCCCATGCAGACCTTTATAACACATGCTTTTTTTCAGGTCTTCATGGCGTTGCCGGCGACGCGCCACTGTTTCTGGATGGAATGGCTCAACTTGCCTTGGGCTCGTGGGGTCAAGTATCATCGCTGGCTTGGTGTCTTGACCATCGTCAGCTTTGTCCTTCACTTTGCCTTTTTCATTGTCCAATACGCTATCACGGACACGTTGGCCGAAGAACTGTTGCCGTGCTTTGATTGCGATATTGCCACCGACGGCAAGTACGCTTGGTTCAACGTGTTTGGCGAGTTGTCGCTGCTATTCATGCTCATCATGGGGGCCACGTCCATCCCGTACGTCCGCCGTCATTACTACGCGACCTTCAAGGCCACCCACTGGCTGTTCATCCCCGCGGCCTTCACTGCGGTGATGCACTACGAGCAAATCATCATTTGGATCTACGTGTCCATGGTGCTGTATATTGTCAACCGCATGTACTCGAGCTCGACGGTGGCGTACCCCGCGGCCCTCGAGACCGCGACGGCGCTGCCTGGCCAAATCGTCCAACTCACGTTCAAATGCTCGACGACGTACCTCCCAGCGGACCTTGTGTACGTCAAAGTGCCTGCGATCTCCACGGTGCAGTGGCATCCGTTCAGCATCGCCTCGACGCCTCTGCACACCCCCGGCCTCTTGACCATCTACGTCAAGGCTTTGGGTCATTGGACTAATCAGCTCCACGACTACGTCAAGCAGTGCGAAGGTGAGGGCGTCCAGCCCGTCGTGTACATGGACGCTGGCTATACGCCCCCGCCCCCCATGTCTTCGTCGTACTCGAGCGTCGTTTTCGTCGGTGGGGGGATTGGTGTCACTCCTCTCATGGCTCAAATCATGCACTTGCTGCACGCACGCCCCCACCAGGACGTGTACCTTGTGTGGCATGTCAGGACTGTGGAGATGTTGAGTCAGTTCCACGGATGGTTGCGCGAGTTGGAGGACGTGGCTGAAGCCAACCACGGCCGCTTGCACTTGCACCTCCACGTGACACAAAAAGGGCGGACCGACATTGCCGTGGGCCCTGCAGCAGACGCCGACCGCATCGCCCCCTCGTTTGATTTGACCCGATTCCGAGCCCCCCCTCGTCCGTACGCGCACTTGTCCACGGTGCGCAAGCTGGGCGTCCTGCTGCTGGCGTTTCTGTGCAGTGGCACGCTGCTCGTGTACGTTCGGTTTGGTCAAAAGTTTACGAAACTGTTGGGGCCCGAGTACTGGCCCCTGCAACGCTTCATGGAGTTTCTGGTCGTGGTCGTGGGCTCGTACTGTGCGTATGGCGTGGCTGTCGTTGGTCATGCGAGTGAGCCAACTGAGGGATGCGAAATTGACCTCCGCCAGCCTCAACGACGAGAGGTCCGACCGGGCGACCTGCTGCAGCACTTTGCAGTGAAGTACGAACGAGCCAACTGGAACCAGTTGTTCCACGACATCCAAGTCGACAAATTCGGCTTTCCGCCAAACTCCGTGGGGGTGTACGTGTCTGGTCCCAACGCACTGGCTAAGGCCATCCGAGACGTGACGAATCACCACACACTGTTCGATGTGCATGTCGAAGAGTTTGAAATGTAGTTATACAAATCTACACTCAAGTTGTTAAGTCAAGTAATGTTCAAGTTATACAAATGTGTATACATCTACACTCAAGTTGGCGAGTATTCGCCAAGTAGTACTGTATGCAAGAAGGGACTTAGATGAGAAAATGGTGGTGGTGGACGTGAAAGGTGGGCCGCCCTTGGATGTTGTCGTCCACGTCGCGAATCAACGGCTTGGGGCCGGATACGAATACCCCCACCATGTCGTCAAGAGCAATTTGTTGCTGAATCTCGTTCAAAAGGACGGTCCAGTCGACCCGAATGGTCTGTACGTTATACTTCAGCAAGAACAGAACAGTGTCAGTTGCTGGCTTGGGCGGGAGGGGGGTCATGTCCACTGGAAGTTGCTGTGATGGCAAAACTGATGAGGCGGCACTCACGACGAAATACGCCACTGCGCACCCCCCGACCACGGCACAGAACGCTACAAAGCGCTGGAGCGGCCAGTAATTGCCTTGCGCTGTCTGGAGGGCATTGCCATACAACGCCAGGGTCAAGAGCCCCCCGCTGCAAACAAACGCTAGCAAGGCCATCCACGTACGACGAGCAAACGATAAATTCGCCTGAGGGGTTGCTTCCACGGGTTTCGCATGGACGTCAAAGCAAGGCACGATGCCTTTGTGGTGGTCCGACACGTTGAAAATCGCGAGTGGGTCACGAGTGACGTGCAGTCGGATGTACAGCCGGCTTCCGTTCATCGACGCCAACGCTTCAAGGTCCCGGAGCCAGTCGTGGAACTGCAGCAGCATCTCCGACTGGCGGACGTGCCACACGAGCCACACGGTTTCGTGGGGGGTGGTGTACAGCGCGTGCGTGATTTGACCCATCAATACAGTAACCCCAATGCCTCCCGCAATGAACAGCACGTGGCGATAGGCCGATGGAAAGATCGTTGTGCGCGATGCGGTGAAAGCACTGCCGCCGTCGAGGTACATCAACGGTAGAAACCGCTTTCGCTTGCACTCTTGAATGTAGTGATACAATCCCGTGGTCCAGTTGCCAAGGCACTTGACGTAAATCGTCACGAGGCCTGGCGTGTGCAGCGGAGAGGACGCGATACTGAATGGGTGCCATTGTGAGTGCGACAAGGCTGGTACGCGAACCCACACCGTCCCCCCCGGGGCGTAGTGCGTGGTGGTGTGGAAGGTTAGCTCAATGACATCGGCAGGCATCGCCGTCGCCCTCGCTACACTGATTGGGGCACGCGTGGTCTCTCTCGAGTACATGCGGTTGATCAAGTAGAGCACGAGGGATGCAAACACGCTGTAGAGAATGGGAACTCGATGCATCGATGCAAAGATCGCAGCAGGCACAAAGAGGAAGTGCGCCGTGCGAAACACTTCGTAGTGGTTTCGACGGACATACGGCAGCGACGTCAGTGCCACGACGCCCACGCAGATAAACGCCAGAATCCCAAAGACGTTCTGCCACCTGTCTGTGCCTTCAGCGGATGCCAAGTCGCAGTCCCAGCATGGCAACAGCGTGACAAGCGAGTCGATGTTGGCGTAGTACGCGACTATGATACCCACGTGCATAACAAGCGCCACCAAGGTTGCCACACCGATCCATCGGTGGTATTTCACACCATTGGCGTACGGGATGTTAAGCCAGGCCATCCAAAATGACTGTCGAGTGGCTGGGAACACCAAGAAGGTCTACAACAGTGTGTAAGAAAGGCGAGTGTTTCGGGTTCGTACCAAGTTGAACATGCTCATGTAGCCCAAGGCAATCCCTGCGTTCTTGATCGAATCCGACGAGCTTGTCATGGCCATGGTGCGCTTGGTATATTGATAATATCCAGCAAACATATTGCTAACCAAGAGGATGGCAACGAAGAGGATCTCGCCGCAGCTGACTCGATAGCCAAACGCTTGTGGTTTCGAGTGTAGCCAGTGCGACAACGGCGTCACAACAATCGGCAAGCTGCTACCTTGTATGAGAGGGAACAGCAGCGCTGCCGCAGCGATGGGAAGCACTATGCCAAGGAAGAAATACGTTGGCTGAACCATTTCATAATGACCACTGTTCTTCGCGCTGGGATCTCCACCCCACCACACGACCACCGTCGAGTAGAACGTCGCCTTGTACCAGGGCAAGTGAAACACCAGGGCAGCCGCAAGGGCGAGCAACATGCAACTTCCAATAAACCAATGCGCCAAGTTCCATATCAAGCGAGGTTGCTTTGATGGCGGCTGGACGACATGCGTCGCTTGAAGATCAAATTCAGCGTCGTCTATTTTGGCGGCATGATGCTTCGGCGTCAAAAGGACGTCGTACCGGGGCGACGTGATGTAGCTCATGGGCAATAGATTACAACATTCCTTCAACTGACGAGGGGTCATCGAACATTATTAGTCGTCGTCGTCAATCTATTGTTCTTGCAATTGTAGTTTGCTATTTTTGGGACTTTGAATTAACATTATTGGAAGTTGTAATTGGCACACTCGTTGTCGTTGCGTCGAACAAAGCTTTCATGTATTTGTTAGTAATGGACGCTCTACCGTAGAACTACGGTACGTTGTACTGTACAATCTCCAATGCATCCTCAATCCCTTCGATTTTTTCGTGCATATACTACTGTGCGTTGGCGAAATTCACGAAAGTATCAACAGTTTAGGTCAACCTCATTACCTTTGCCGTATAGTACATCACTACTATGCTACTATGGGGCAAAGGTAATGAGGTTAACTTAACGCAGACGTGATTGTAGAGACCCGTCGCCGCAATGAACGCGATGGTGAAAACATGCGCAGGTCGTGGGCGTTGCCACGTCTTGGGCGACTCTCTCTGACCACTACATAGCATATAGTGGTCAGAGAGAGTCGCCCAATATCTACATAGCATATAGATATTGCCAGCGTGTGGGAATCACCAATCACATTGCACTAAATCGTTCATTCGCTGATGTTAATACTCCCGTACCCAATGAAATCGCGTCTAGTATACGTCCGTGTCGGTTCAGATGTAGTTCGAGTGGTATAATCAGTATTTATCAAACTTTGTACTTCTATCTATTTCGCACACTTGAAAGTCGCCCCCATCCTGATTTGTTGATCAGATTCAGCGGATAATCCAAAGTTGTTCCATCAAATGTTCAGACAGGAGATATGTAGTATTCACTTTTGAATTCGCACGGTTCAGCGATGACCGAAGGCACGCAGTTCCCCCCGACGGCTACGCCCAAGCAAGACGACCAAGAATACGACTATGCGTTTTCCAACATGAACCGGTCGGAAAGCCCAACCGCGTGTGTTTCGGCCAGTCCGTCCCCCGTTGCCCGCACCTTGGGCATTGTTGGCCATGGCGTTGTTGGTCTTTTGCTGATCTTGGCGGTGCTTACTCCGTTGGCATTCAACTTTCCATGGTATGCCACCGACTTTTCAACCCCCGTGTCCGTGTGGTGGGGCGTGAACCCCAAAGTCAAGGGAAGCGGCCACTCTGAAATGGTGATGCCAACGTACTTTTTCTTTGGGATGGTGCTGCCTGTCGTGGTGGCGGGTGTCCTCTTTACCTTCCTTCAAGCCAAAACACCCATTGGACCATCTCCGTTGGCGCCCTTCTTGCACCGCAAGCCCAAACTCTTCAAGTGTTTGGTCAGTTACGGCGAAATCCTCTTCGTCGTCGTGGTCGTCACCCTCAACGTTCTCGTGTGCTACTACGAATTCGTCAAGCGATACAAAGCCACCAATCATACGGCCGATACGTTCAAGAACGTCGGTACAGCGCTTGGCTACACCTCACTCATCAATCTGGTACAGTATGCCAACTCCCTTCAACTTTGCATGATTGTTTGTCTCATTGATCGAAATCGTGTAGGTTCTCATTGCCCTTCCCGCCACCCGCCACTCGTTCTGGATGGAATGGCTCAACATTCCATATGCACACGGGTTAAAGTACCACAGGTGGATTAGTGTGTTGACCATCGTGACGTTGATGGCCCACTTGGTGTGCTTTCTCGTGTACTACGCCATTCTTGGCAAGTTGATGAAGCTGCTTCCGTGCGCCAACTGCGACATTGCCACGGACGGGATGACCAACTGGGAGTACTTCTTTGGCATCCTTTCGGTCTTGTGTTTCGTGGTGATGGCGGTCACGGCGTTGCCGTACGTCCGTCGCCACTACTACTCGGTGTTCTATGCCACGCACTTCCTCTTCATTCCTGCGTCCCTCTTTGCCGTGTTCCACTGGGGCAACATCATCTACTTTCTCTTTGCGTCCATGGTCCTGTACTTGACCAACCTCATGCTGTCTCGAGCATCGACGTCCACCCCCGTGACCTTGAAGCACGCCGCTCAACTGTCGTCGGAAGTGGTCGAAATCACGTTCAAATGCGTCACGGGGTACAGCCCAGGCGACGCCGTGTGGATCAAAGTGCCCGCCTTGTCCAAGACCGAATGGCATCCCTTCAGCATCGCGTCGACGCCGTTGGAAACCCCCGGGTTGCTCACCATCTACGTCAAGAGTCTGGGCAAGTGGACCACGGGGCTCCACCATTACATTCGCGACTGCCACGAGAAGAGTGTCCAACCCATCATCTACATGGATTGCGGGTACAAGTCTGCGCCGCCGATTCCTGCGACCCACTCGGACGTGGTGTTTGTGGGGGGGGGTATTGGCATCACCCCCTTGATGGGGCAGCTCGTGCATATCCTTCGCAGCCACCCCAGTCAAACCGCGTGGCTCATTTGGAACGTCCGACACAAGGACATGCTCGTGGGCTTCCAATTGTGGCTTCACCACATTGAAACAGTTGGGGGAAACCGGTTGAAGATCCGGTTGCACGTGACGCAAGACGACACGACGAGCTTCGACGTCGACGCGACGACCAAGCAATCCATTCCTGGCAACTTTGACGTGCACAATGGGACGCCTATCGAGTCGCGGCCGTACTCGCACGTGAGCACCGTCAAGCGAGTGCTGCTGTTGCTGTTGGCATTTGCGTTCAGTGGTGGACTGTTGATTGCTGTCACTTACGGCAACAAAATTCAGTCCACCCCGCCGCGCCTGTGGCTGGTCCAACGCTTGGTGCAGTATTGCGTGGTGGTTTTCGGGTGTTTCTTGGCGTACGGTGTCACGAAGTTTGTCAACGAACGACCGCGGCAGCCGCTGTTGCCTGGTGCAGGTGAATTCTCGTCTGATGGCAAAGTGCCGTTGACCGCCCACGAGCTGACTGCTCACTTTAACGTGCAATCTGGCCGCACGAATTTGGCCGACGTATTCCACGAAATCGAAGCGTCGGCGGCATCGACTGTTGGCGTGTATGTCTCCGGCCCGAAGAGCTTGATCAAAGCGGTCGACGCACAAGGACAAGGGATCCGCAAGTTTCAAATTCGACACGAAGTGTTCGAGTTGTAGATTGTATAATGCGTCGGTCTGCTACCCACATACTGCACACTGCATCGTTAAGTCAAGATTTATACCTTTGAATCAATAGGGCCATCAATGAGCAATTAATCACCATGATACTTACTACTTCGAAGTACTACTACAGTACATACTAATACTGTAGTAATCGTTGCCAACACTTTCATTTCGTACAGTGTACGAATATCTCATTACTACTGTAGTACTTTGTAGTACTACTGTAGGATTTGTATACCATATGGATAGAGGTCCCGTCCATGGCCGAGTGCAATTTGCATTTGCAGGTCAACAATTGTGCAAACATCTGTATTAGTGTTGAACTTTACATGTCGAACTCTTCGTTGTGGACGTGGAATTTGGACTTGCCTTGGATTTCCGCGTCCACAGCACGGATGAGCGCTTTGGGACCAGACACATACACCCCAACGTTACGCCCTGTGGTCGCATTCGCTTCGATCTCGGCAAACACGTCGCGCCATACCGCACGCTGAAATTGCACGTCAAAGTGCTTCACAAACGTAACTGTGTCCATCACCTTGACCGGTTTGGCCACTTTGTCCGTCTCCACAGCGGGAACGGCGGCAGGCGTCTTGGCAACGTAAGTGACGATGTACGCCATGTAGCTTCCCGCAATCACAACACAACATTCGACAAAGCGCTGCAGGGGCCACCAACCCGGGTTGATGGCTTGGATTTTGTTGCCGTATTTGACCGCTGCCAAGAGACCACCACTACAGGCAAACGCAAGGAAGAGCATCAACATGCGCTTGGTGGTACTTAAGTGAGCATATGGACGGGGCTCCACCGCCACAACGGGGGCAAACGTCATGAGATTATCCAAGCAAACGTCTTCCTCAGCCACGTTCAATGCCGACGCGTGCTCTTGAGTCACATGCAAGCGAACGTGGACGCAGCATCCGTTGGCGGCGCTCAATGCTTGCATGTCATGCAGCCACGATTGGAATTGCGTCAGCATCTCGGATCGTCGAACGTGCCAAATCAACCACACCGTTTGTTCGGGGTGGGTATACAAGATGTGCATGAGCTGGCCCATGAGCGGTGTGACCCCGACGCCCCCGCCCACAAACACTACGTCCGAATACGCCGGCGAAATTGGCGCCGCGGTCGTGTACCCGCCGTCCATGAACACTACTGGTGGGATTCCCGTAGTTTGGCAGTGGCGGATGTAGTGGTACAATCGGTTGGACCAAGGACCCAAGCATTTGATGTACACTGTGAGGAGGCCAGGCGCTTGCAACGGGGTCGACGCAACGCTGAAAGGATGCCACTGGGTCTTGGACAAAGCGGGGACTTTGAGCCATACCACGTCGCCCGGGCTGTATCCAGTGGCGCAGTGCAATGTCAGCTCGGCCACCTCGGCGGGCATCGCGATGGCACGTTCAATGGCCACTGGCGCCGAAATGGACGCGGACGAGAACATACGGTTGACGAGGTAGAGCACGATGGTGGCAAACAGCCAGTAGAGGATGGGACCCCAGTGCAGCACGGCAAAGATAGTCGCGGGGATGAAGAGGAAGTGTGTCATGTAAAACACGTTGTAGTACTTGCGGCGGATGAACGGGAGGGATGTGATGCCCATGATCACCATGGCCAAGAACGACAGGATGCCGAAAAAGTTCATCCAGTGGTCAAACCCTTCCTTGGCCACGTTGCAGTTGTAGCACGGAAGGAACTCATGCAACGAGTTGCGGATGCCGTACACAATAAAGTAGAATATCGTGTGGCCAGTGAGCATTACGATCGTGACGACGCCCAACCACCGATGGTACTTGACGCCATGTGCGTAGGGGATGTTGAGCCATTCCATCCAAAAGCAATGGCGGGTGGCAGGCAGCGCCAAAAACGCCATGTTGTACAGACCATTGAAACCGAAATTGATGGCAATGATGGATAAAATGTTGAGTTTCGTGCTCTTCCCAGGCTTGTAACGCCGGTGCCATCGGTTGTAAAACACAATGACGTTACCTCCGAGTACCACGAGGAGAAACAACAGTTCCCCGTAGCTGACAAGACCTCGGAGCAGCAACGGTTTGCGATGCAGTAGGTGGGAAAACGACGGAACCACGATGGGGGACTTGGCTCGAACGATGGCAAACAAGAGGGCACCCACGACGACGGGAACGACCATGCCGAGGAAGAACACAGTGGGCTGGACCATTTCACTACGACCACTGCCCCGCACCTTGGGGTCGCCCCCCCACCAAACGACGATGCGGGGTGACACTTCACTCGAGTAGAACTGCATAAAGTACATAAACGGGGTCCAGGTGGCCAACAGGAGACACAACCCGACAAACCAGTGGGCACACACCCATACAAAATGGGTCTTGGTCGCGTTTGTCGTCGGCAACGTCGCGTCGGGTTGGACAGGCGTAGGCTTGGGGGTGTCGATGGGGTGATACGTAGAATCGGCCATGATGGACACCGGACAATGCAAATTCAACAATGATTTGATGTGCCGACGGTTGTAGGCAACGTCGAACGAGGTGTGGCTGCTGAACGCACATACGACATCCCCTCCAACGAAGTGTGCTCCCTGAACTCGTGCATCCATGAGTAACCAACGGTGCATTTTCAATGGTCCACGAGACGTGCAAGAAATACGTCGGTTCCTCCGGACAACATGTTGCGTGCCTCTTCGCACTTGATCGCTGATGGACGCGTTTCGTTGGATGGTTCTGAACCAATGAAATCATCATATGATTGCTATTGGCCACGAAACAACAACATCCAGCATCCCTGTCATATTGCGACATTTTGTGTGGACGGAATTCTGAGAATTTAGTTTGCTCAACCAACGGGTGGCTGAATTTGATTGACGGGAAAGTACAGTAGAGCACATCCGACCAAGTAGAAACGAGCAACATGTCACCTCATTACAGTACTGTACTCCGAGTATTAGGTGTCGTCTCAACAAAGGTGAAGCTAGCAGTAAAATCAGCGATGCTGCAACAATTCACCACACAAAACTGTACTATTACTAGTAATAGTACTACCCCTTAATAGTACAGTACACTGTACCTGGTAGTATTGTGCCCACAACGCAATTGCACTTCTAAAGCTATTAATAGCAACAGCAAGCCGGATGATCTCAACCTTATCAAGTAAGCGATCGAAATGCATGCTCACACGGCTATACGTATTTCCCTGGATTGCTTTGTTAATAATCCATCAATTGTTGATACGGCACCAAATTGTGAGACTGCCTGATTTTAGCCAATAACAAATCGAAATTCGACGCCATATTTTATTACACATCTTGATAACGAAGTTCTGTTCACCTTTTTCAATATTAAACAATAAAAATACAAGCATTTAAATAGAATGTCCACTGGCCTACGAGTGCGTCACAGCAGCTGCGAGGCACTTGAGTACGTCCTTTTAAGCCAGTGGTACCATAGACGAAGAAGTGGCTGCGTAATATTTCGGAATGAGTGAATTTCCTCCGCTATTAACTGTTGTGATTGTGATCCACCCACAACAATAATTAAAAAATATGATTGCAATTCTATTTATGATCAAATTATTTTTCATATTAATTTAGACCCCTTTAAATAATCGAACAGTACTTACTGTTATTACTAGTAGGGACTTACAGTTAAGCACCTTACGATTGACAGTGAGCTCAAAACATTTAATTTCGTTACAAATCTTAACAGTAAATGCAGTCCAATCATGTTCCATAAAAAAAATGATGGCATTTCATATTCTCTTATGCGGCTTTCAGAATGAAATATGCCAGTAATAAATACTGGTATTCGTTATCACTCTCGACAGGGGTTTGACACAGTTTTACAGTTAACTCAAGGTTAAAATTCGACCAAATTCACAGTCAGTGTCAACAATTGATGCATTGCCGTGAGTTCGAGCGCCTTGGACGTGGCGTCCACGCGGCGGTTCTCCATCTGGGTGGGCGCGTCCTATACCTTACATGATACTACGTAGTAGCTCATGAGATACATTTACATTTCTGGGCAAGCAACCCTGCGATGATGCCACCGGGTGGGGGATTGTCATTGCCTATCCTCTCTGGACGCATTGCTTGACCGAGCGATAGTGAAAAGACAAGATGAAGGGGAATATTCCGGGGGTACAGCAGTCAAGCAATTGTCACTGACTATCACTTTGCGTCAATCCTGTCCTTGGACACTAGGCAACGAACGACATCAGTATCAACGTTAATCCAAATTTAATCTATTCTTTGGCAGCTGCAGGGACCAAATGAACCTTTGTGTTTGTGTAGTTCTCCATATCAGTCAAACAAGTAACTCAGTAGTGAGTACATTCATAGTATATAGTGTAGAAGCGATTAAATATGTACCCGACGATGTACGGCGTCCATCGCTCGGAGGCGGATGACTTGGATCGATGTGTGCATGTGCAGGGTGAACCGCTGCTGCGTGGATTGGGACGCGCCTGGCAGTGACGAGGCGACCCATGTGTGTTAGTCGATGACTTGGGACGAAGCGCTATGAGTCCACGTTGGTCCTGGAGTCCCATGTCGTTGTGTGTTCCATTGGCACTGGCACGAGTCGCACCTGTCCAGTGAATTAAGAGGAGCGCGAACGAGTGGTCGCCCGGTAGCGTGAAGCCCGCGCCACATGACTGGCACGACTTGTGCGGGTGCCAATGATCGTACGACTTGGGACTCGAGCACCAACGTGAACCCATAGCGTGTCGTCGCGGCACGTCAACTCCAGATTGAAACGAGAACTGACTGACAGGGCCCTGTGAATAAGTACCGGTAGTTACTATTAATAACTACTAAGGTAGTGCATCGATTTTCTGGACGGTTTCTGATCACAGTATTGGTCATTTTTCAAACCTTCATAGCTTCGCTGTCATATCGAATTTTTATATTCTACGATTATGTCCTGAATATATAATTCAAGCAGAATATTATGGTGTTAATCCAAATGTGAAAAGAAACAGTTCATGATTTGTAGGCAATTTAAATACAGCAAATAAGAAATCTCATGACTTTCTAACGACATCCAAATCTGGACGGCCAACGTATCTTGACATTTGTATACTGTTAATATAATTTACATTAAAATACTTCTGATTTCTAAGGACCAAACTATAAAATTGCCTACGGCGAAAGCAATAAAAATTCACAAAATATACACGAATGAATGAATAAAAATTCAATTGGACTTTTTGCGCTTAACATTTGGCTTTCTGGTTGGCTTGGAAGCGTTCGTGTTCAAGCCTTCCTTCGTGAACAAGTCGCCATCAGTGACAACACGCTTTCTCGCCTTCTTCGGTGTTCGCGCAGGTACGGTAATGACGTTCTCACGTGCATACTCTTGAGTTCTGATCCAGGCGGCTGCACCAAGGTCGCTATTGACACAGTTCTTGGATTGCAAGTCGAGGCGCTTCAACATTGCGGGCAATGATAACGGCCAGGCACCGCATGTACGAAAACCGTTCTTAACCATGCCTCCAGCATGGCAACCGTCGTGCTGAAAGTCGTGACTGATCAGTTTGTTGAACGCAGTGCCTGCAATCAAGATCGCATTCGATCGCGGCAAGGCGTCAGTGTTCGCTGCGCGCAGGTACGTCGTCACAGTTGTCTTGATGTCGCGCTTGATGCGCAAGATTGCGACGTCCAACGGCTGAAGCAAATGCGTCGCGTTTGCAGGTAAGTAGACCAACACAATACCATACGCTTCGCAGATCATCTTACTGTCTACGCCGTGATGAGAAGAGCAATTGTCTAGGACAAGCACGGCAGGTCTAGCCGCACGGCAGCGAAGCTTCCACTCTCCGAAGGTAATCAGCCAGTTGTTGAAGATCACTGAGTTCATGAACGCTTTAGGAGCCGTGGTCACAAGCGCGTCATCGACAGGACACTCGTCCAAGATAGTACTCTCGCAGGACTGTCCAGGGAGAAGAACGCCGGGGGAACAAGGGTGCCGTCGGATGCAGCAGCCACGACAATGGTGAGATGGTACGGTGGGGTATTTTTTTGATACCAAACGTTCTTTGACCCGCGAATAGCGACGACTTTCTTGTTTTGGGACATTGTCTTGAAGCTCGTTTCGTCCATGTTGTAGACATCTGCAGCGGTGCACGCGAATCCTAGAGTGCCTTTGATTAGCGCGTTAAAGTAATGTTTTATACCTAATTTGTTAGCTGCGTTGCGACTCTTTGACAGCTTCTGAGCCACGCGGTCAGCAATGATAGGGTTGCGTACACAAAACTTATGGTACCATCCTCGAGTAACGTTCCGTGGTACGCCATGGTATACAGCCAATATCGCGTTCGCCTTGTGGATGACTTCCCCTCGCTCAACCGGCATTCCACGACGTTGCATCGCAGCGATCCAAGCAACAAGGTCCTGCTCAATCGATGAGGGGAGAGCTTGGTGCGGCCCTCGCTTGTTGATGGAAATGGCGCCAGTGTCCTTCTTCATCTTGATGTAGTGGAATAACGTGGCCCTGGAGACAGCAGAGCTCCGGACGACAGCCGCTTTGGACTCGCCAGCTTCGACGCGCCGAATCGCATCAAGGATTTGTTGATACGTGGCGGGCATGTTTCAAAATGGGGAAGTCAATGAGTATTTTTATTCAATTGGCGCGAAAAAATTGCGCCAAATATCGTCACTCGAGTTTGTATATAATTACAACCACGAATATTATCATATCTAATCAAATTCACTCAACTCAAAATGCAGACGTACTATTGGTGAAAACTCAAACCGTCCAGGAATTAGGAGCCGTCTAGTTAATCGGTGTACTACGTAGTATGTATTATTAATATCAGTACTGGCTGGTACAGTATTATTTACCTAAACGTTACAGCAGTTGAACAGTCACGCAAAACCTGTAGAAACTAATGATTATGCATTTGCTGAGTTTTCAATTTTGTTGAAGGGTCAAAGTGTTCGAACATCCCAGCGGGCGTTATGTTGGTGGTGGGTATGGTGGTGCAGCGAGATATGCTGTGGTGGCAACATGTACAGTATGCCGTAGTGGCGTGCGGTTCGTCGCTGTTGTTTTGGTGGCGAGTGTTTGTGGCGGGTGTTGTCGATGTGGTGTGGCTTGGTGGCGTGTTGGTGACGAGTGTGTTGTGGTGATGGCATGGTTGTGTGGTGGTGAGGTGGTAGCGTGAGTTGATGTGGGTGCATGGGTTGCGTTGATTGTGGTGTGTGTTATTGTAGTGATATGATTTGTAGCAGTACTCCGATACGAGTATACGTAATTTGTCTTGGCCTGATGTGTATGTGATTTCCCTTACAGTCGGAATCTCAATCTCAAGTTGTTGTCGCTGGCTCTGGTGATTGCACTTGCCGACAAGCTAACAGTACCCCCCCCGTCCAGGCAAGAGATGATTCCACTTCCACCATTGATGTGCCGCATATGCTCGACAGTCAGATACAACCTTTTGCATATACTACATAGTAGAGCCATTTGTTGCTTACCGTAATATACATTGTAATTCATTATACGCAATTTCTTGGTTGTTCTTCATGGTAACACAATCGACAGCTTGACGTCACGACACTGTAGCACAGCCAGCCCTCGTCTGCGTTACCGGTATGGAGCAAACCATGGACTTGCATCCTTGAAATGTGTACATTACGAGGCTTATACGTGCAGGTGGAATGAATTTGCACCCTCATTCCCGCGGTGATTGAAACAGGGCACGTTAAACTGTAATGCCATTTACGTAACGAAATGATTGTAGTGATGAATAGATAACGCACTGTCGCACGACTCTCACCAACGCGGCAAGCCATACAACTTCGCCCGTTTCAAGACAGACACCGCCAACAACGGCAGGATCGGCCGCGGACCGGCGCAAACAAGCAGCCATCACCGACCCTGGAGGCTTCGCTCCTCTATGTTTATGCACCGATGTCTCTATCCGGCCACTATAACCGGATACTGACACCAGCAAATCGATTCTATGTGACGGAATATGAACCCGATGCTGGTGCGGTGCGAAAATATTTCAGTAAATTTTCAGTAAATCAGCACACAGATTTACTGATTGGCCAATTTACTACCGGTAGGCGCGGTGGAGATGCTCTAATAGTACTTCGAGGTGTACACATCAATACCATCTATTTATACAGATATAAATATCTGTAAGTATTGGAGGTGACGCTCGAAAACAAGTACTGTACTTCTATTATTAATAACTGTAAGTTCAGGTATTTTCCGGTATATTTCGTCCGACGCACAACTGATTCACGCCATGTGCGTTATGTTCGCCAAGCATTCGATATATTTCGTCCAGACCCTTCTTCGTTGCATTATATTTCGACTAATGTCCGGTATATGTCACCCCATAGGCGTTGTATTTCACATGTTGAATATATTTCAAATGACCATCCATCTATTTCGATTTTACAATCAGCGTGCTGCTGCGTCAGGCGCTAACTTCCATGTCACCCACGTTTTCGACAAGACCGTAGAACAGCTTGAGCAACAAGGTGTAAGGTTGTAGAGGATTCACGTCGCTATCCACTACCTGCGATTTACTTGAGTTGCATCTAAAATCGAAATAGATGGAAAATCATTTGAAGTATAATTAACATGTGATATGGGGTGACATATACCAGAGATTAGTCGAAATATACTGCAACGATGTTGGCTTTGGACAAATAACGTCGTTACTGTCCGTTTGGTCGGAAGGTATTCACGAATGGTCTTCCATAACTTTTACTCTAGGAGGTATTTCCCCGATCCAAAGGTATATTTGAATTCAGGAGTTTAACCTGCTGTCCGTGAGGGGTTTTATTTTTCCTGGAATACTGTAGCATTCTACTCTCCCAGGTTTGAAATGAGGTTTACTGTTAACATCAGCACCTAATGCAACGTACTTAATGGAAGTGTATTTTTAAAACTGCTGCATCGAAGTATTCTATTGAGTCATAAAATAAAATAAACGTTAAATAATGTATAGCATTACTATATCAGGGGTACAAATTATTAAAAGTATTGAACAAATATAACTATTTAAATAGTCTACTTCATTAATATACTGCGTTTCATCGCTGGAATCATTGCTTGCGAACGCAGAGCACAATTTTGCACTTGGGCCTTCTAGCTTCTACAAGCAGAATATGTGATCGAAGACGAAATCAGTTGTGCGTCGGACGAAATATTCCGAAAATATCCTGAGCTTTATCGAAAAATGGTGTTGTAACGTTATGTCATTTCCAAAAAGGACCTTGCAGCAACATTTTCAAATAAAAAAAAATTCTACTTTCATGAAAAAAGTTACTGCCAGTTATTGTGCTTTTCGTGTAATTTGCCCGTTGCTTAACTGTATTAACAGTATAATAGAGAGGTTTTGCAACTCATTCCATTCCGCATCCATAGCATATGCCCCGACATATGGTGACAAAACCAGAGTTACCTCTTAAACATAGTTGTGGAAACCGTAAAATTTTATGCATTCGCCGCACAATTGGACAATTGTATGGAATAAATTCCAGTCCGTACAATTCAAGTTGCGCCAACGTCTTTGTGACGCCATTCGATGGATACATGCAAATATGTTATCGTATCCGTAGTGGCTAACCGGATGGATGAGGTCTCAAAGCCAAAATTTCGGTACTAGTGCAGTAACTATTCCAGTCCATACTATGCATAAAAGCGATTCTTGTCAAAAATATGCGGAATGGATGCGGTCTGGACAAGTTGCAAAACCTCTCT